ATAGTGGTTAAGTGAATCATGGCAGTTGTTAAGTCAGCAACATGGTTAAGTGAATCTGGCTTCCCCATTGACGTTGCTTGTCAGAAGGTCACAAAAGGGATCCCATGACCCCGGGACACTTCAACGATCATACATGTGAATCAGTCGCCAAGCATCCGAATTTTGATCATGTGACTTGTGGGGGATGCTGCAAAAGTTGTTAAGTATAGAAAACGGTCATAAATTGTTTTTTCATTGCCATTGTAAGTTTGAACGGTCACTAAATGTTAAGTCCGGGACTACCAATAGTTGTATTTGATCATTTCAATGAGCTTTGCTCGGCTTATTATTATTATTTTTTTTAAATCTTCTTGTTAAGTTAGCAACACGGCTGTTCGGTGAATCTAGCTCCCCCATTAACTCTTGTTAGGAGGTCGCAAAAGGGGTCATGTGACCTGCGATGCTGCAACTGCCATAAATATGAGCCAGTCAAGCATCTGAATTTTGATCACATGACCGAGGGAGTGAAGGACGGAAACTGATCAAGGAGAGATTCAACTAGAAATAAGGAGAAATTTTCTGACAGGGAGAACAATCAACCAATGGAACAGAAGTTGCCTTCAGAAGTTGTGGGAGCTCCATCACTGAAGGCTTTCAAGAAGAGCCTGGACTGCCATCTGTCAGAAATGGTGTAGAGCCTCTTGCTTGGGCGGGGGGTGGGGTGGACTAGATGACCTCCAAGGTCCCTTCCAACTATTCTATTCTACTCTACTCTACTCTACTCTACTCTACTCATTCTAATTCTAAAGGGGATGCTGCAATGGTCCTATGAAAAACTGTCTGTGTCCTTTTTTTCAGTGCTGTTGTTCACTTTGAACAGTCATTAAACAAATGGTTGTACATCAAGGATTACTTGTAGTCCAAAGCCTCTAGAAGTCACCCACTTGCTTGTGCCTATATTTTGCCCATTGCACAAAGAGTCATTTTTGTTAAGACCACGTGTTTAAATGCTAATTAAATTGCATGAGGTTTCTTTGCATCCCTTGATCTAAACTGCCTTTTGCTGGATTGGAAGAACCCGTTTTCAGGAGGCAGTTTGAATACACTAAATAGGAGAACAGCCTCAAAGAAAACAGGCCAGGTGGATTGCCGTTTAGGATTAAGGCAATTAAATCCTTGGCCCGGGATTCAACTTTTATGTAAACTTGGAAATCAGCATTTTGCCTGAAGATGTTGGCATTGGTACTTCTTGCTAGTTGTTCAACAGGTAGCCTAGATTTCACAGAAGTCCTGTGCCTTCTCACCTTGGAAAAGCTCTAAACTATTGTGACACTGCAAACAAACAAAAAAAAACCTGTGCAGGGTGATTTATCTTTGATTAACCGAATATTGGATTTCCTAGCTACCGGTAGGTACAACCCACATCAAAGTTGATGCTCACCGATCAAGCTGGGAATTATTGTTCTCCAGTATATCTCAGTAGTAGTAACTGTGAGAGGGATCTTGGAGTCCTAATGGACAATCACTTAAATATGAACCAGTCGTGTTTTGCAGCTGCCAAAAAGGCCAATACAGTGCTGGGCTGCATGAACAGAGGGATAGAATCAAGATCACGTGAAGTGTTAACACCATTTTACAATGCCTTGGTTAGAACACACTTGGAATACTGCATCCAGTTTTGGTCACCACGATGTAAAAAAGATGTTGAGACTCTAGAAAGAGTACAGAGAAGAGCAACAAAGATGATTAGGGGACTGGAGGCTAAAACATATAAAGACCGGTTGCTGGAATTGGGTATGTCTGGTTTAATGAAGAGAAGGACAAGGGGTAACATGATTGCAGTGTTCTAGTATCTCAGGGGCTGCCCCAAAGAAGAGAATCAAGCTAGTATCCAAAGCACCTAAAGGCAGGACAAGAAGCAACAAATGGAAACTAACCAAACTCAACAGTTGCTCGTCTTTAAAAATTATGTTTTCAGTGGTGGGACTTGGCACAAGCTCCAGGCGGTTTGAAAGGGGAATGTACTTACAAATGACTTTGAAGGCGAATCAAAGAATTGAGATGCTTGAGACAGCTTGTTAAAAATATATTTATATTTTAAGAAGTTCTCAGGGCTGAAAGAATCAGAGTCGGCAACTTTCAACAGGAGGGCTGACCATCTCAGAGACGAACACAGACACAGCCTCTTTCTGAATAAAGCTTTTTTGCAACAAAATACCCAACGCACTCCCCCAAAAGTTTTTAGTTATTTACAAGACAGTGTAGAAAAAGGATTTAAAATACTGTTAGTAGAGGCTGTACAATATTCTGCTCGGATTTGAGGGGGGGACGTAGAATCAACAGCAACATTCAGGTAAGGATTGTTACAGAAGCACGTTGAGAAAATATATTCAGTGTTCATTAAATATGTGCACAATGGATGAATAAGCTTACTTTGATGTACAGATGCTGCTGGATTACAACTCCAATAATGCTTGACCACTGGTCGTACTGGCCAGAAAGGCCAGAATCTGAAGCCCAGCAATCTATGGAGGAACCTAGATTGCCTACCTTAGTGTTCCTCAATCTTGGGCAACTTTTAAGATGTGTCGACTTCCAACTCTCAGAATTCTCCCATGCTAGCTGGGGACTTCTGGGAGTTGAAGTCCAGATATCCCAAGGTTGAGAAACATTGGTCTATCCTAACAGGGTTCCTTCCGAGTATTTCCTTCAGTGCTTACCAAGATAAATACAGCCAACTGACTTATTTCATAGCAGCAAATTCGTGTTTGCAACATTTCAAAACGCTTGGATAGCTACAAGCAAGGCTTAGCTTTTTGCTGAATCAATCTAGTTTTTGTACACATCTGCATGAAGAACATCTACCCTTCACACTGACTGGATGTACAAAATATTGAAGGAGAAAGTATTGTTATGACAAGGCCAATGTTCCCCGATTTTAGCATTGAAAATACACACACACAGAGAGAAAAAAAATGACACACAGAACTGCAGTCTTCAGTGGGTAAGTAGGCACGGCTAAATTAAGTTTTATGGTCCCTTTTTCTTTTTGCAAACATGTTTGTTATGTTCCTAATTATAGATTTTTTTTTTTTTTTTTGGCAGCCAACACAAGCCGTTGCAGGGATGGATCTAAAAAAAGACATATGTGAGATAGCTGTAAGCAAAATAGCTATTTTCATATTTCCGTGTCGCAAACAGCTAGTGCAAAACAATTGCATCTATTTTTTTTTTTTTAAAAAAAAGAAAGGAATCCAGTTTTGCCCCTTATTTGAAAAACACGAAGCCTGGCATGGTCAATCGCATAAGTAAAAGCTGCCAGCCGGCTGAAGCCATCAAGGTAAAGAAGAACAAATGCAAGCAGCTACGAGGGTAAACATAATCAACTTCATTTTTAAAAGCGAAATGGGCCTTTTGTTCTGAGAGCGTTCAGCAACTATTCCAACCAGAAAGGCCTGAGGTTTTCAAGGTCCTCTTGCAGGATCTAGGGAGCAAGTAGGCCTGGAGTCGTGTTTATTGAACAGCAGTTTATTTGTAAGTTGTCCATGAACTTCTCCACCCATCTGTCAGGAAGTTAACATGGGCAGCCCTGCCTACAAAAACACCAGTGGAGTTGAAGACCACCCAATTATTACCCTGTTATGGAAGTCTGCCCCAGCAACTGTTCAGTGGTCCCAGATGCTCAAAAGGCAGCTGAAGCCAGGATTTCAGCTGCATGCAAACCAGGTTTGAAGAGCAAGAAAGGACACGGAGACAGAGTGAAAACCTGAGAGCGATCAATAAAGGTGATGGCTTCCAATGGCTCAGTGATGGAGATTATGAAAGCATGCAATGGCTCTTAAGTGTGGAGATGATTTTAGTTCAGCTGTGAAATAGACTGATTGTGCAGAAAAATATTATTTAAGATGATGCCAGAGGTCTTTGACTTGTCCCAAATCATCTGCCCATGAAGCTTTCTCTCTTGCTGCAATTAAAAAAGGGGACACGCATTGATTTGATGCCATCACATTAAGTTGCCATGGGGCTCAATTGGGGTTTCCTGAACAAGCCATGGGCAACTGGCCCACTGCCAAGCTAGGCATCAGGGAAGCCCAACTGGCACCACTTAAAGGGCCTTGAGGAGATTCCTAGGGCTTCTCCACAAGTTGCCAACTTTTCACTCTTAATAGGAGAAAAGGGCCAAGTTTGAAGACCCCTGCACTAATCTATGAAGGGAGGCCGTGCTCAGGATAGAATTCATACTTCGCCCTAACCCACGGTCTATGCACTGGCCTTTGGTCTGCCTGATGTGCTATCAGCCAGTTTAGAAGCAACAAAAAGGAACCGTAGGAACACATATATATCCTGCTCACAATTGCAAAATACAACAGAATAGCGCTGGAAGGACCTTGGAGGTCTTCTAGTCCAGCCCCTTGCTCAAGCAGGAGAACCTATAACATTTCAGACAAGGGAGGGGAACCTATACCCAATTCAGACAAGTGACATTTTCCCAAATCATTTCCCCAAAGTTGGTAGAGTTACCAAGATGAATGCCACTGCATAATGGGGGGGGGGGGAGTTTTCCATTCAAATAAGCCGGGAAATTTAGCATAAACTGGAACCTGTGATAGATTCATACAGAGTCTCCAATATACGTTGTGTCTATTCTTCACAAATGAATGAAAAGTCAGCCTGGCAAAAAATAATAAAAATAAAAATGGAGGTCTTACTGGGCTCCTTGCCAGTACGACTCGCTGAAGACCTTGATCAGGTTCCCATGCTGTGGTAAGGCACCCTTTGCACAACCATCATTTGTTAAATCGGCCACCAGAGGTGGGCAACACACAACATGTCAAGCCGACACCAAGCGAGTGAGTGATGTACAAACGAGGATGGTTTCAGATCTGCAGATCAGCCATTCAAGAAAAAGGAGAGCCAGGAAGAAAATGGGAGAATCACAAAAGAGGGGAAAAAAGCATATCAAAGAAGACCCCACCCAACTATTTGCTTCAGACCCACCCCACCCCCCCCATGTTCCCCCCTACATTAACCCTGAGTTAAACCAAAAAGGATTAGAAAGTGCTACAGCCTCATTCCAGACCCAGCCCACTAAGGTCTCATCCTGCAGCTGATCTTTGCAGTCTTTGCAAATTCATCCTAAGAGAGAGGGAGAGAGAGAAAACAAAGCAGAACACAAAGCTCTCATCCTGAGCTTGCAAGAGGCTTCCATCCAGTTGGAAAGGCCTCGGAAAATGGTTGTGGCACACTCAAAACTCTTTTGCATTTGAATTGTTTTAGGTGTCCCTGGTAGGAAGTCCCTATGGCTTCCAGTTACCACTTGTCTTCCAAAAACAGATCTTTCCCTGAGGTCCCCACCCAGACCCCTCTCTAGCACATCCTGCCCAGCAGGATCCAGTCCACATTCTGAGATTACAAAAAGGGGCAGTGTGAAAATAAGCAACACTTAATAAGACTCAGCTGCCGCCCTCTCTCCATTCATCTTTAAAACACCGATCTGGTAGCCTGGTGGAAATGGTGCCGCCTGGCTACCTTTTGCCTGAGTCACAATTCAGAATTCTATTCCTTCTTAAGGAGCACTTCTCCTATAAACAGTCACTAGGTCCTTTGAGACTCCTTTACGCAAACCGGCAGGTTCCCTTCTCAGCTCCCCTAAATCTTTGACCTCTTGCAAGACCTGGGTGGCTTGCCGGAGTTGCTCAGTTGCTTCGTTGAGCAGCTCCTTTGCATCTGCTGAAGGCCCTTGATCCTTCTGGGCTTGCTCCAGCTCTTCACCCTGAACCTTCTGCAGGAGCTTTTCAGTTCGTTCCTTTTCGTGAGCAATTTTCTTCTCCATCCGCACCACGTGGAGTATAGACGTCTTCTGGAAATCTGGCCGTGGAGGCTTTTTTGGCGATTCTGAAAGCAAGGCCCCCAGAGAGGAGCTGCGAGGCTTGGTTGCCGGAGAACCTCCCACGGGCTCCACTATGTCAACCTGATCTTCAGAAGGCAGGCTCAACGCCTCTTTCTTGGCTCCTTGCTCTGAGGAAGACTCGTCCTGCTCCTTCCCATTTGGGACAGCCGGTTCCGTTGTCCCGTTGTCATCAAGGCCGTTGACATCAAGGTTTGAGTCTCCGTCAGGCTGCTGATCCCCTTCAGCAATGTCTACCTGTGCGTCGTTCTCTTTAGAGCTCAACCTGGCTCTAAAAACCTTAGGAGGAGGAGTCGGTGGTTTGACTGCTTCCTCGTTTAATCCAGGGGCGTTCTCAGCTTCAACCTCATGAAGTTCAGAAGCTGGACGCTCCCATCCCACCTTCATTTTGTCAGATAAAATCTTTGGAGGAGGTACTGGAGGTTTGGGTTCCACCAAATCCTCTTCGGCTGGAATCCCTTCAGAGTCCTCACACTTCTCCTCTTCCGCATCGCTTACTTCTACACAGTTCACCGTTTCGCTGGGTGTTGCTACTTCCTTAAGAGGTTTAGCTGGAGGCATCGGTGGCTTCCTAACCTGCGGATCCTCTGGGTTAAGATTGGCACTTAGATAGTCCGTGGGAGGCATGAGCACTTTTGCGGGGGGCATGGGAGGTTTATGAACCTCCTTCGGAGGGGGGGCATCAGCAGTTTCATGGGTCACTGGGATGCTGTTTGCGGGTCCACTGTCTGGTACCTCTAAATCAAGTCTCAGGATCCCATCTGACGTTGAACTAGCCACCTAAGTAGGAAAGCAAATGAGAGAGATCTCAGAATCAGTGCTCAAGTCCATAATTGTTGAAGAATGAAAGCTTATGGCCACACAACATGGAATGACTTAAAACAGCGTCAAACACCCTACATGTCCTGCAATTTCAGAGTGACTATCATGCATGGGTTTTGTTTTTTAAGTATTACACTGTTGTCAGCACAAGAGATTCTCCTACCTTCATGGCAGCTCACTCAATGAGCCCCCATGGAGGACTCCTACATGGGATTGAGGGAGCGAGAACCCATCTTTATCCTTTCCTTAGGCTACCATGTGTAAGTGATGGGGAAACAAAAATCCAGACAACCCTCAGATGGCAACATCTTGCTCTATGCTGCCTGCTGGTGGTCATCTGGAGTTTTGCAGTCCAAATATGATTGCATGCTCTTGGAAACAGTTACCAGAATGTGGGGCTTTGTTCCATACGATAGACTTCTTGGGCCTACATCCTCTCTTCTGTTGAGCCCTAGGTGAATAGAATTCCTTGTTATTAGGCTGAGAACGAGGCTGTAGCTAGACCTAATCTGGGTGGCCGTTGTTTTGCTTGAGAAAAATTCTGCAAGCTGAGCTGCCTCCTACAAACAGAAACTCCTTTAGAATTGGTACAGGAGAGAGACTTGGTTCATGCTACCTCCACATTCAGTGTTTACTACAGCTACTCCTTGATTTACGACTGGTTGCTTCAAAACTCTTCAAAGTTATGACAGATCTATCCAGACCTACTTACAACCCGTTTTCAGAGGTAGGACAGCCCTCCACACACACACATTCCACAGTCACATGATCATATTCTGGATGCTTGGCAACCAGTTCACCTTTAGGGCTGTTTGCAGCATCCCAAAGTCCTATGACTGTGATTTGCAATGTTTTTTTGCCAATTTCCATCGTTTACTTCTGGATTCGAGTAAAAACACCCATTGGGGAAAACGATTCTCTTGATGACCATGGTGTCCACTTAACAACTGCCATAAATAATGTTGGGGATGTATCCAATCAAATGAGCCTTGACTTACAACAATCTGCTATTATAATTCCAGGCTCAATTCAGTCGTAGGTCATCTATCTTCTATCAATATCTATCTGTCTGTCTGTCTGCCTGCCTGCCTGCCTACCTACCTACCTATCGTCTACCTTTCTGGTAACACCAAAGCCTTCTCTCCCATTAAAAGTCTCCCCAAATATTAGGGACAAAAGTCTTGCTTGGTCTACAACTATTAGAGTTCTAGATGATGGTGACACAAAACCGGGACTTTTCTATAGCTATACCCAGGCTATGGAACTCCTTCCCAAGGCTAAGAAATTCATTCAGTTCCTCTGTTAGTGAGGAACCAGTTTGTAATAATCTTGTCTCAGCCTTTTACTTCTTCTGGGTTTAATATTTAATCTTCTCTTCCCAGCCTACTGTTTGTTCTGCATTTTAATATTTAATCATGATTTCTTTAGGACGTTTAATAAGTGTGCTTCTTTGAAACGTTGTTAAAAAGCAGCTAAGAAATACCAGTGAGAGTACAGAACAAATTATTCAAACTGGAGGATTCAACCTCAATTGAAATAATTCACAGACATATATAGCTGGCACGTGTAATTGTTTCAAATAATCGTACCTGTCACAAATCCAATCTAAAATCAAAACTAGCTGGGGGTGAATATTGTGATGAGAAATAGCAAAACAGAAGAGCAAAAAATATAGATCAGAATGTTGCTGAATAAATGATAAAGGAGTATTCTGATTAAATAATATAAAAACCACATTGGTTTGGTGGTAACCTCAATTCTTACTTCTTTCAAATGGCTTCTGGTTGGTGGACGACGGCCCTTCGCTATCTTGGCTCTGCCTCGAGTTATGTGATCCAAAGAAAGACTCTCGTCCACTTTTACCTTTGAATGGGAGAGAAAATAGAAAAAGACTGAGATCAGAATAACCGGATAACAATTGGAAGGGACTGACCAAGCAGAAGACTCTATTCCATTCCATACAAAGGGTTGTCCAGTTTCTTCTTGAAAACTTCCACTGATGGGGCAACCACAACTTTTGGAGGCAACCATTCCACTGATTATTCTTAGGAAATTTATCTGTAACTAGCTGTTCCCGGCCACGCATTGCTGTGGCTCAGTCTGGTTAAATGGAAAAGAAAGAAAAAAGAGAAAGCGCACGTTTGTAATATGTTTAATTTCACAATGCTTGTGGGTATATAATATTTTTTCTTGTTCCATTGTCTGTGCAGATATAGAGATTGTCTGAAATTGTAGAGTGTGTTGCTTTTACGTCCAACAGATGGCACTGTTTTTCACAAAAAGCATGTTTTTACCTGTCATAAGTGTGACATCTATATAATATAGGTATATAAAAACACGCGCGTATTCGAATGCAACGTTGTGTCAAAATTTCAAAGCAATCGGTGAAGAACTTTCGGAGATTTAAGATTTTGAACAAACGAACATTTACATTTTTATTTATATAGACTGTAGACTGGATCACTCTTTGATAGTCTTCCATTTGTTACTTCTTGCCCTACCTTCAGGTGTTTTGGAGAACAGGTTGACTCCTCTTCTCTGTGACAGCTCCTCGATTATTGCTATCATGTCACTCCCTAGTTCACTCTTGTTTTAATCCCATAAATCAGAGGTCCCCAACCTTCGTCACTTTATGACTTGTGGACTTCAACTCCCAGAATTCCTCAGCCAGCTATGCTGGGAATTGAAGTCCACAAGTCATAAAGTGACGAAGGTTGGGGACCTCTGCCCTAAATGACTCAAAACAAGCATTTCACAGTTCTGTCTTCCAAACCAAAAAAATACACAAGAGGTTGAATCATTCATTTAATCTGTACAACAAATCCTAGCAAAGTTTTTTTGCTTCAGATCATGTGAAAACCTATCCACTGTGCTTTATTACAGAAAGCCAGATAATTGTGGTGTATTAACCAATACAGGCCAGATATGACTTTTTATTTTGCCAATCCATGAACCTTTATTTTGCCAATCCACAAACTTTGGTTTACAAGCCACTCTGGCTGTATTTTCATTAAGGCAAGACTAAATCAAAGAGACAATTCTGTGAATCAACTTTTGCAATCTTGAACTCAACTCTGTTAAGATTTGTGATTAACAAACTAATCTAGAAAGTATATACTACGCTTGGAGATATGTTGCAAAAGACGGGTTATCGTCCCAGTGTTGCAAGATTTGGCTCAATCTCTGAACCATTAACCAACCAACCAAGCTGGATTCATACAACACCTTCATGTTTATGACGGTTGCAGTCTCCGGGGAGGGGGGTGTCACGTGATCTCCCTTTTGCAACCTTCAAATGGGGAAACCAGGTTCGCTTAACAAGCATGTTACTAACTTAACCCCTGCAGCAATTCGCTTAAGAATTGTGGCGAGAAAGATCGTCAAATGGGATGAAACTCCTGTAAACAAATGTTTCTTTTAGCAAGAGAAATGTCGGGCTCAATTGTGGTCGTAAATGGAGGACTACCTCAGAGCATCCTCAGCTCCAAAGTCCCTGGCTCTACCCTAGTCCACCGACTCCACTTAAGGCTGCCAATATCAGCCAATGACGCGACTCTTCCAGTTGTCTCCTTCCTGGGTAACACGAGACCACAAGTGGCTCAAATTCTGCCTTCCTCTTCTCTCCAGCCTAGATTTGCAAGGCAAATGCAATTAGTTTGCTGTTCCCAGCTCCTCTCCCCCCCCCCCCAAGCGCAATTTGGCACACTGCCTGCAGAACTCAATGCGACACTGCATGACAATCCAGTTCTTCTAGAAGGAGGCAGAACAAGCCACCTCCTTGCAGCCGTTGTGAAAACAGGAGAGCGAACAGGTACCCGACTTGAATCCATCAGATGACCCACTTCCCCTCTCAGCCATAAAAAGAGACCCAGAACGCTTTGCTCCGACATCCTTGGGTTTAAATGGCGAGACCAAAAAGGAGAAAGAAGGCAAGAAAGGGAGAAAGAGGGAAGAGGAAGGAAACAGACTCTAGAGAAGTTCATTCAGAGTTGACATTCCTTTGCCAGAATCATTGGTAGTCCAGGCCAGGAAGGACCAATCAAAGTCAAAGCTTCTCTGGCCAGAATAAATCATCTCCCTTGGATACCCTGGAAGATGCAAAGCACAACTCCACTCATTAACGCCACGGTTGGCTTTTGACAGAAGGAGACCGAAGGCAATCTGGAGGCAAACACTTCAGTAGATGGAATCACATCTCCTCTGGGTTGGGGCGTCTCGTGCAGTGTTTCACTCTACAGGCAGTTCCTCGCCTTACGACCACCATTGAGCGCCAAACCTCTGTTGCTAAGTGAGGCATTTAAGGGACTTTTGTCCCATTTTATGACCTTTCCTGCCGCAGTTGGTTACGCAAATCACTGCAGCTGTTAAATTAGTCACACGGTTGTTAAGTGAATCTAGATTTCCCCACTGACTTTGCTTATCAGAAGGCCGCCAAATGGGATCACACGACCGTCATAAATACGTGCCAGTTGCCCAGCTTCTGAATTTTGATCCCATGTCCATGGGAAGGCTGCAACGGTCACACGTGCGAAAAACGATCCTAAGTCGCTTTTTTTCAGGGCCATCGTAACTTCGAACGGTCACTCAATGAACAGTGGTAGGTCGAGGACCACCTGTGAATCTCTGCCCTTGTTAAAATTGTGAGAAGCCATTGTGGTGATTTTTAGCAGTCAGAGTGATCCTCTGGAAGGGGGTAGGGGGTACAGGTAGCGCTACCCAGAATTTAAGAAGAGTTTATGAAGAAAAAAAAAAAGATCTTCAGAGGATTGAGCTGGAAAAGCCAGGAGTCTGCCAGACACACGTGTCCAGATGGCCTACCAGATCTCTGTCACTTCCCCTGTCCTTGACAAAGCTCTTCTCTTTTCCCACTCTAATGCTCTTCAGATGCCTTGGATCTCAACCATCTAATAATAATAATGAAGTTGGAAGAGACCTTGGAGGTCATCTAGTCCAATCTCCTGCTCAGGCAAGAAGCCCTATACCATTTCGGACAAATGGCTGTCCAGTCTCTTCTTAAAAACTTCCAGTGTTGGAGCATTCACAGCTTCTGGAGGCAGGTTGTTCCACTGATTAATTGTTCTGTCAGGAAATTTCTCCTTAGTTCTAGATTGCTTCTCTCCTTGATCAGTTTCCATCCGTTGCTTCTTGTCCTGCCTTCAGGCTAATCCAGAATATCTCATGGGCACCAAGATAGAGGAGACGGCTTTGACAAATTCTCTCCTTTCCTATCCAGTCCTCTGCACAACCTGTTTGGGTTCTGCAGCAGAAGCACAGTCTGGTTTGCAACAAGTCAATGCAGGAAGGCAGTTCCCTGAAGCCAGGAAGTCTGAAAAGCCACCGAACCACAACTTCATTTCAGCACCCCTCTACGCCTCACCCATGGCTCTCTTTTACAGTCACCATTTTTTCCTCTTTTTTAGCTCTCATTTCTTTCAAGCTGATCTTCTTTAGTCTCTGTCTCTTTCCACCCATGGGTGAATAAATTAGGATCTGGTGGCTTCAGTCTCCTCCTCCATTTCTATATGCAGATCCTCTGGTCACCCAACCATTAAGAGCAAGGGTCTTCAAACTTGGCCCTTTTATGACTTGTGGACTTCAGCTCCCAGAATTCCTCAGCCAGCGTGCCTGCTGGCTGAGGAATCCTGGGAGTTGAAGTCCACAAGTCATAAAAGGGTCAAGTTGGAAAAGTCCTGGTTAAGAGTGTTGGAGCTTTGGATTTTCAAACATTTGAATGAAAAGAAAAAATCTGATGGGTTTATGGAAATATACCTGGTTTTGAAGAAATGTACCGGACGGTCCTTGGTGTTCTCTGAACATGGTTGTTTTCTTGCAGACTTTTCTTTACCCAACTAGATAACATCATCAGTGCTAGAGTACCATCACGTCTTTCTACAACTTTCTCTCTCCTCATGGGTTAATATATTTTACCCATCCTGGTCTTATATAATGTATAGGGAATGGAACAACTTGCAGCAAACTTTTGTTAATCTGAGAGGTTTTGTTGCTCTGCCAAGGAACTTTATCAATCAGAGTAAAAACATATTGCAAGTTATTTTGGGGAGAAACCCCTGAAGTTGGTGTAGCAAGGGTTGGTACTGGTACGTTCCAATGACCTTCTGATTCTCTGCTTAATTTTTACTCTGACTGATGAAGTTGCTTGGAGGAGCAACGAAACGTCTCAGATTAACAAAATTTGGTCCAGTTGCCATGATTCAACTTTTAAACACCTTTGGCCTGGATGATTCAATCTTCATGAACATACAAACTTACAGCAAAATTAGGAGCAACCTGAAGTTAAGAACTGCCACTGACCTCATCAAATATCTTATTCTTTCCTTGGCTGATGCCATCATTGAATGCTTTCATCCACAATTCCTTTTCTTCTGTGGTCGATGCCTGGAATTTGATATCTTGCACCTAAGCAGGAAAAAACAGGAGGAGAGTTTGCCTGAAAGTCATTCAGGTTTCACTACAAAAACATAATTATTCTTTGCAATACCAGCTGTTGCTATCCAGTTTCCTCCAGGAAATTATTTTTTTATAATGTAGATCAGGGCAGGACAACGGATCTGGAACAGCCCAGATGCAGGATAATAGGCATGATTTGATGAAACAATTATCTGCCTTCCTATCTATCAGAAGATTTGTGACTCAGCTCTGACCAAAGCAAATGAAAACTAAAATGTATAGTGTCTTTTTGCTGCTGTAAGCCGAGAAATACATAAGAACTGTGAGGTAAGCCTCAAATCAGGCTTAAAGTAGCCTTTTTTAAAAGACTCCACACACCTAGAATTATGAAAAATAAAATCTTAACCATGCCTTCTTAGGTCATCACTCCATCCATTGTGGTTCTCAGCTGCAGAAGGTTGTCCAACCCAGACAAATAACCAGGATGGACATCTTAACGTTTATTTGCTGCCAGAGGAGAGGTCTGCAATGAACAAGGTTGGGTTGGAGACACCTTCTCTGGCCAAGATAATGTCACAATTTGTAGGAAGCGTGTTCCCCCCCCCCCAGTTTTAAGGAGTCTGAAGCTATTCTGTAATTATGTGAAATCATTTTTTTAATAGAAATAGAAATAGCACTTAGACTTATATACTGCTTCACAGTGCTTGACAGCCCTCTCTAAGCGGTTTACAGGATCAGTCTATTTCCCCCAACAATCTGGGTCCTCATTTTACCGACCTCGGAAGGATGGAAGGCTGAGTCAACCTTGAGCCCTGTCGGCATCGAACTGCCAAACTGCAGGCAGTCAACAGAAGTAGCCTGCAATACTGCATTCTAACCACTGCGCCACCACGGCTCTTTAAGAGGGAAAACACCACTTTTTAAAATTATGCTTGGCAAACATAGGGTAACAGTGCCCCTGATCTTTGGAAACCCTGAAGGATATTGAACTTTTGGAAAGGTGCAAATATTGAACGTTTCTAAAATTGAGATTTGGAGACTGCAAACCACTTTCTCCATCATGCTCCAGCTTTTTGCACCCAGACGCTTGAAACAAAAAGTCATGACGCATCTGCGGAGCCCTAAACTAGGGAAAGCTGATGTAGGCCACCAGCCAAGTATGTTGATGAGATCCTTGAAAGAAAGGGATGGAGCCAGTGGACATTTATAATTTAAAACCATTGATACCCAGCTTTTCTGCTAAAAGGCAAATCATTAGCAATTAACAGCTGTTAAAATCAATGTTTGGATTCCATGAATGAAGACGAGGAGAACAGAATGGGGTTTACTTTCTCCTCCCTTCCTCTTAGACTCTGTAGCTCATGTTTCCAGAAAAAAACAAATGCTTTCTGTGGTTGTGAGAATGGTCCAGGATGAGGTGTTTCAGGAGAAACAAACCGTATCTTCTCTCTCGGATTCAAGCCAATAACCAAAAGGCACAACCTCATCCGTAGAAGATCAAGGGCTATCATTAATCCAAGCGAGGTAAAAACACCTGATTTTGCAAAAATCACTCATGGAATAAATGTTCCAGTACAGCAATTGCACTGGCACCAACGCATCATTTTTGTCATCAACACAAGGGAATGAACCCCAAGCATGACAAGGAAAAATAGCTTGCAAGAATAGGAGGGAGGGAAGGGGAATGTGTGTGTGTGTGTGAGTGTGTGAGTGTGTGTGTGGAGAGAGAGAGAGAGAGAGAGAGAGAGAGAGAGAGAGAGAGAGAGAGAGAGAGAACAAATCACGTTTCATGAATTAGGGGCCGGGGTCTTCAAACTTGGCCCTTTTACAACTTGTGGACTTCAACTCCCAGAATTCCTCAGCCAGCATGCCTGGTTGAGGAATTCTGGGAATTGAAGTCCACAAGTCATAAAAGGGCCAAATTTGAAGACCACTGAAACAGGGAGAACAAATCAATGCCCAGGCTTCATACAGAAATGTAGTCCTCTGTCTTTTGCTCTCTCCCCTTTTATCTTCACAGCAAGGGAGGATTGCAACCTAATCTTAGTCAGCAATAGATGGAAAACAATCATGGATGGAACCAACCTAGAACTAAGGAGAAATTTCCTGACTGTGAGAACAATTAACTAGTGGAACAGCTTGCTTTCAGAAGTTGCAGATGCTCCAACACTGGAGATTTTAAAGAAGAGATTGGACAGCCATTTGTCTGAAATGTCACATGGTTTTTTGGCTGAGCAGGGGGTTGGACTAGAAGACCTCCAAGGTCCCTTCTATTATTTTGTTTAAAAAAAGAAATGATTTGGATAAGATAATCTCTGCCATCGACTGTATATCCCACCTGTTTGCAACTGAATGGGTATCAATCCAAAATGTTGCCAGATCTGATCATTTGCACCTTCTAGCCATCATTCATTCCCTCCCTTTGTATTCCTGCCTTTCTATCTGGAGCACAAGACAGCAGCGTACATAACACTGGGCTCACGGCCCTTTTCAGCAATAGGATGTTAGGATTCGATAAAGCATAATGAAAGCCATTTTGATTTTTGCTACAGCCCAGCCCAGGTTTTGGAGTAGAGATAGCCACAAGAGCCGGAACAAGTTATGCAACCTTGAATTTGCAGAAGGCAGAGCCAGGTACACCAATGATTACAGTGGAGTAAAGCAACTTCTCTCTTCCCTGGATTTTTATTTTTTGCTGCCAGGGAGGAGTTAGCAAGCAGTCTCATTGGAAGTAGAGAAGTCAAACTTGTTGGATGGCCATCTGCTCTTTCTGAACTCCCAAACAACTGAACTGGAATCACCCTTATTTTTTTTTTAAAAAAAAAAAAGTCATTTACAATAGCACCTCTACTGAACACAAGGGGCAAGTTTTTTTTTTTTCAGTAATTTAAACTCTAAGCACAATCCCAATCAGATCAAACTTCCTTTTTGCCACAATAAGTTGCTGGCTGGAAAGCAGAGCAATGGGGGGGGGGAGGAAATGGGAGGGTCAGACTCTGTTTGGACAAAGGGGAAAAAAAGAGAGCAAGAGAGAGAGATCTTGGTTCCTTCCCAAGGAAGCATGCTTTTCCCATGAAGTCAGAGTAGGATATTCTCTCTCCATAATCAGGAATGAGTCTTGCCTGAATGATCAGACTTTTGCCCTCGTTGTAGGCTTTAGATAGTTAAAGAGTTGTATCACCAGCTCATTCTATGATGATTTTCCATTATTGGATTATCTGTTCTTGGCTGCCTGGTTGAATGCAGTTATACAATCCAGGGAAGAGGCTGCCAATGGCATAGTCCAGGAGATGAAAGAGAAGTAACTGAGATGTCCAAAGAAAAGAGCACCAGAAAAGGCCTTACAAAGGTTTCAAACTCTTCTGTCTATCCAAGGTATGTCTTCCCTGGAGAAGGACACATCTGAAGATGGACATGATCTTCCAGTTACGACATACAGCTGTCTCTGAACAGAAGTTTGGAAGACATAGTTCCAGTCTTGTTTATTATAAGCGATCATAATGAGCACAAGACTGTTCCAGTCCCAGGGAGTGAAGATGGGAGCCCACATAATATTTAAGGACAAATCCTTATGCGTGAAGGTCTATCACAATTAGATCTATATGCTGACCTTCATAGAGATTGGGGCAAATTGCAAAGTAAAAATTAAAAAAAAAATCAAAGATCAAAGATGGTCCTGATTTTTCATGCCTGACACTTCGTGTAACTTCTGCAGAATTAAGCTGGTTGTAAACCTAAAGTGCCCGATTCCCAAAGTTTAAATCTAGGTTTATCCAATAATTTCTGCAACCGTCAGAGAAAGAAACCACGCTATTTTCATTCTGCAAAATTAGGAGCCGCATATTTCCAGTTGGTTTGAGCACCTGAGTGCATTATTTTCACACTGTTTTTTCCCCATAGGTTGAAGGGAGGAAGACTTTGGCCAACCGTGCAGCAGATGGAGAAACAGAACCATGTTGTAACTCCTAGGTGTTCCTTCAAAGTTCAATCAAATTCAAGCCATTCCATGCCTTCAAGTTATACTTCTCCCTACAAGTGGGATGCTAGTGAATATACTATCCAAGTGCAATTGTGTCAGAAATTGAGCCTGTTACTCCACAGAGCATCACCACTGACAATGTTAAGTTGTCCCACAAAGTATCTTGTAAAGCCAAAAGCCAACAAAGGAACTGACCAACACCTTCATGAAAGCATATACATATGGAAAGCATGCAGAGCACATGGTTTCTGGGATTCTTTCCTGTTCCAGTTGTGGCCAGAAAAGACATCTGTATTTTCTTCTGTGCAACCAAGCTTTCTCTTTGTATTGGATCTGGGTGCTTATGTAAGAAACAAAAGGCAGGCTTATGTATGCTTCACTCTGAGTTAAGAGGGAGGAGTTCTTAAGAAGACAGCACTCCTTAGGGATACACTGGTGGATTGTTTTTCAGGAATGTTTTTCTCCACACTCCTAAGCCTCTCAGACTCAACCTTTGTATGGTGGCATCTCTTTCAACACCAAATTTGGTCCCATTCTGTTATGTTTTCAGAGAGAGATTCTGCTGAAGGATGTAGCTCCTTATATAATTGCCAACATTCCTTTGGAAATCGGAAAGAATAAATACAGGGAGGGAGGGAGGGAGGGAGGAAGGAAGAAAGTAGTTTCATATAGAACAGAAAAGACTTCTTACCTTGCAACCTGGAGAATGGATTAAAATGAATCTGTTTTTCCTTTTCAAGAGGGCTCGCAAATCTTGGCATCTATCGTAATGCTCCAGTTCAAGACTCTCAACACATTTCTGTTCTGCCTGTAAGAGACAATATTACATTTTTTTTTTCTCTACTGCAAAGCATGAGGTGTGACACACCACTGCAAGATAGACACTGACTCCAGACGAGGGAAGTCTGTGTTTGTGCTGCACTTCAATTCAATCTCTGGAGTCACCTGTGTGTGAATTGGGTGGCTATGTAAATTTGCTTAATAAACAAATAAATAAAAGCTTTACATCTGCTTCTCTCTCACAGCAATGGTCAACCAGCTCTAACGTACTTCATGAGCCATCCTTGTTGAGGCTGCTCAGAGCAGCAATGGTCTAACAGGGTCAACATGTGCCATCCCAAGTCCCCGTCTTGTACCACCTGTTGGGTTAAAATATTCTCAACAGCACAATTAGAAGGTTGCAAAGCCTCCCCAAATAAGAGGATATAAGAGTAATGCAGGCAAAATTCTATTGCACCTACAACAGCATCCCTTTGTGTGTTTGTCTGCATTGAAGGTATCAATGCAACTCAGTTCCATACATGGAGATTCTTTTTCTGATTAAAAAGAGGGAAAACTATGATTCTGAGGTAGGCCTATCGTTGTCCTCTACATTAGCCTTCCACAAATGTCAGCCTTTCTGGTAAGTGGCTTCCAGCTATCATGGTTTTTGATAATTGGCAGAACTGAATCTTTCTGATGCTTCTCAAAAGTTGTCCCACAGACCATCCAGTAGAGGAAAGTAACAAGGTATATGCCACCATGGACATAGATACTTTAGCCAAGAAAAGGCTACTAGGCTGGCAAACCACCCAAACAGCTGGAAGCTGACAGCTTGGATCTACACTAATGATTCATTCACATACACACAAGCTATCATATCCAAACCACAAAGCCACAGTTGTATTATAATCCAGTTTCAATGGATCCATATACTGGACACTGAACAGGCATATAGGAGGATTCACCTTATACAGTATTCACGGGGGAGTAATTTTGCCAAATTTGACAGACACACAAAGCTTTGCGTTTCTCAGATCTAAGCAACTTCTAGCTACCTAAAAAAAATAGTTAATAATTTGGGATCTTAAAGGTGATGTTCTAGAGCAGTGTTTCCCAAACTTGACAATTTTAAGGCATGTGGACTTCAACTCCCAGAATTCCACAGCCACCGATTCTGAGATGATGGGTTAACTTCTTTCTGCTTGACATCTTTCGTCGTTATTGGCATGGGTTGCTCAACAAGAAGAAAAGAGGAAGCACCAGGAAGGAAGAGGACGACTACGAAGAGGGTGTAAAAATAATCTCAGATCGTACAGTGTACAGTATACACGTAGAGGAATGCTTAAAAATAGTGGCCACAAATTTAAACCCAATCCATTTCATCACAGTGGGCCAAAAAACTAACCAGCTGAATCATCTCCCTGTTCAGTTGACTGCTTCATGAGTGGCAACTTCCAAGAACCCTGCTCATGTTCTTCATTTTCAGCTTGCAAACCATTCTGTGGTCGTCCTTTCAAATCAGTTTCCCCAATCCTCATGGTTTGCCAAATAGGGCAACAGAGCCAGCCTTAAGGGTTATCCTTCACAGTTAAACCCCCTCATCTAGAAAAACACTAGCCCAGTTGTACTACCTGCCTTAGGAACCTCAAGAAGGGAAAGGATTCCCTGATCAGTCGTGACCGATTCTAGGAAGCGACGCTCATCTCCATTTTTTAGCCGAGGGAACCAGCATTGCCTGAAGACATTTCCGTGGTCATACGGCTGGCACAGTTGCATGAAGTTTTGCCAGTCCCAGCTGTGATCACTCTGCAAAGGACTACCTGTATTTCTTTTATCTATCCCAGGGGTAGGCAGCCTTGGCTCTTTTATGACTCGTGGACTTCAACTCCCAGAATTCCTGAGCCAGCGTGGCTCAGCTTGGAAACCTCTCCCTTTCCCCTCAGCATGGCTGGCTCAGGAATTCTGGGAGTTGAAGTCCACCAGTCATAAAAGAGCCAAGGTTGCCTACCCTTGATCTACCCAATGCTTTAATAGATGGTCTCTGGACCTAAACTTTTAACATTAGAAGAAACATTCCCAGTAAGACAGAGAAGAAACCAAATTTAAACAATCAAGGAAGACCATTTCTGTGTTTGGAACAAGTCCGTGAGTTTGCTGAGGTTTTTCTCTCCCCTTGTCTTACCTCATCTTCGTACACCAAGAGTTGGGTTTTATTGAGCCGGATGTAACGTTCTTTCCAAAGACTCAGAAGCCCTCCACTGCTCTTCTTGACCCAGCCAACTTTATCTGCTGAAGAGGGACTCTTTGACTTCTCCAAATTTTCCTGTTTCAAACCCTAGAATCAAACCAGGAAAAAGAAAGATATTACCAGGAATTCATAAACTGCTTTTGCAAAAGTCCTGAATTTCTAAGTTTTCCCTCCAAACCTCAGGGATGATGGAGAGTCCCTTAACTCTGGTTCAATAAGCAAAAGACAATTTTCACCCAACACACATGGCCACAATGAAACAACAGTATTATGGTTTCAATCAGGGGTCTTCAGACTTGGTCCTTTTATGACATGTGGACTTCAACTCCCAGAATTCCTCAGCCAGGCAGGCAGGCTGGCTGGCTGAGGAATTCTGGGAGTTGAAGTCCACAAGTCATAAAAGGGCCAAGTTTGAAGACCCTTGATTTAAATAATATGTCAATTCAGAGGCGTTCTAGTACCGTGATATATTGCTAACATATAAATAACACATCTGGGTAGCTCAAAGGACGCCCACACATAATACTGTGTCAAAGTATATGTGTTGAAGGTGAACAGAAAAATATTTGTTGGCACATGCTACGCAAACTACCCAAGACATTTGGGGGCTTGTGTCAAAGTATTATGGTGCCCTTTTCATCACTTCTAGGTCCACATTACCAACCAAACAAGTGACACATTCAAGAATATTGATGATACAAGAAGGTCTTCCACCACATCTGAGGTCTATTTGGGGCAGGCTGTAAGGCTCACACAATTGTGCCATTCCACAAAGGAATGCTTTCATGACTGAGCTGCAACATCTGTCCTTTGCAACCACAATTTCAAACTGCCCCGTGGTAGGGCTGGCCCTGAATGTCTTTCTTATTGCAATGTGGAAGCTCTTTTTTTTTTAAAATTAATTCTTCCCACCAGAGGCACTCCCAACAGGAACATCAGGGCAGTCCTCATTGGCTCTCTGTGCTTGCTGATCTGAAGCCTCCCCTTGAGCTTGAATGGAGGACGAGAAGCCAAGGAAGGAAGGGGGGGGGGGGGGGAAACGCTGGAAAGATGATTATACATTGAAGTACAGGATGTTCATACATCAAGTCCCCGTGGCCAATTTATAATGAAATAAATGCGAGAATACTCCTCTGAAGCCAAGAGAACGTTTCTTGAGTTCTTCTTCTTCTTTGGAAACACAAAACAAAACCAAAAATTAAAAGGTTCCTTCCCATTAATATGAATTATGAAAACAAAAAAGGAACGAAAGCTTAACGTACAAGTTTAGCTTCTTGCCCTGGCAAAAATATAAGGCCTCTGGCTTAAACTGGGTTTCTCCACCTAAATAACTGCAGCCTGGCCGTCCACAAAGCAATACTTCCCCTTCTGGCTCAAGCCGATTGGGAAACATTCACCTACGTGCAACCCAGTTCTAAATCTGCTTTTAGACATTGTCACACAGTACTAGAGAGGTACAATACCTTGCTTGCTTGCAAGACCTGAAGGGTAACAAAGCTATTTCTGTAATCGTGGTTTGTTCCAACGTTTGCCAATGTTATTCCTGGACGAAGAGGAATACAGGTAGTCCTCAACTTATGGCAGTTTGTTTAGTGAACGTTCGAAGTTACAACAGCACTGAAAAAAGTGACTTAGGCCCGTTTTTCACACTTATGACCATTGCAGCATCCCCAGGGTCACGTGACCAAAATTCAGACACTTGGCAACTGACTCGTATTTATGATGATCCAGTGTGATGTGATCACCTTTTGTGACCTTCTGACAAGTAAAGTCAATGGGGAAATCCAGATTCACTTCACAATCGTGCTACTACCTTAACAACTGCAGGGATTCAAGACAGGTCGTAAAATGGGGCAAGACTCACTTAACAAATGTCTCCCTTAGCCACAGAAATTTGGTCATAATTCAAGGACTACCTCTATGCTATATTGAACCACGAGTACAGTAGGTACTGTAAATGCTTCTGGCCAGTGCTGTTATCCAGCACTTCGTTCACAGAATGCAACCAAGAGAAGCAACTTTTAAGTCTTCCTTTTTAAAACCCTGAAATAAACTTCAGAGACCATTCTGAAGGACAGATCTTCAACCATATAGCCTATCCTTGATGGTCTACTGCTCTTGTTGATTTAAAAAAAAAAAAAAACTTCTGATCTGGGAATCGCCTAGATCTCCACCATTAGCAGGTTTGAGCACATCACTGCATCAGAATCCCCCGGGGCACTTCCAAAAAATGTATACTTTGTGCTCTGTGTGATTTCCTCCCAGCTTCCTAAGGGCAAGAAACTTCCATTATCTAAGCCAAGCACCACTCAAGTTCTATTTCGCTACAAATAGAATAGGAATAGAATAAAATAGGAATATGGAAGGGACCTTGGAGGTCTTCTAGTCCAGCCCCCTGCTCAAGCAGAGAACCTACACCATCTCGGACAGGTGATTGTCCAGTCTCTTCTTAAAAACCTCCAGTGCTGGAGCGCCCATGATTTTGGGGATAAGCTGTTCCACGGGTTGATTGTCCTCACTGTCAGGAAGTTTCTCCTAATTGATGCTAAAAGGAGAAATTGCTTTCTTTAGATACCAGGCCTTCCTTTCTCGATCAGATTCCCAAATTAGAACTTTCTGAATAAGGGTTTACATTGTTTTGGATCCCGACTTTAAAAAAATAGGCAAATCACCTGAGGGAAGGAAAGAAATAACAGCAATACTTAAGTTTGTGCATTCCAAGATGCTGATGCATAGAGGGACATTGAAAGGGACATAATATGTCAGAAACAAAGACCCATTTGGAATCAGACGGTTGCAAAGGATGTTTAATCAAGCTAAAGAACAATGAGTAAGTCCTTGCTATACTGGAGAGAACTGCCATCAATTGTTTGTCTTCGAATCAGGCGGACAACCTATATCCTTTGGGGTGCAGGATTTACCAGCTAACATTAAGCACTATTCAACATTCTTCAAAAGCCCTCTGCCATCAAATCTGTTCAGATCTGTCGAAAACTGTTCCTCCCTTCCTGACCATTTACTGGATTAGGAGAGAGGGTGGGCAGGAAGGGTTAGATATGGATGAGCTTATGTTGATGGAAAGATGGAGAAGATGATGCCATTTCTAACAATAAAAATTCGTGATATGAATTATATATAAACGAAGATGGGGAGAAAGCCCAGGTTATATGTATTTTCTGCCTACATTAGCTAGGAATTACGAAGGCTGATTTTTCAAGACATCTGGATGATTATCTGCTGGGGAGAAGAGTCCCACTTTAGTTCCCACCCAGGTTCCCCCCCCAACTGTCTTAACTAGAAACTCTAGAGGAGTGAACCACAGATCTTCCACACAAAGTATTGGCCCTACCTGTAGCTTCTTACTAAGACGTTTAATAAGAAGATACCTGATTTGCTGAAAAGATCATCTGCACATCCTAACTAATCTTCTCAAAAGACTACCGGAAATTTTCAAGGTTAAAATTGTGAACTGAGCATCTACACTCTAGATGGCAGGCTTCCTTGTGAAGGAATTCAAGGTTATTTGGAAAGGCACGAAATTTGAAAAGCGCAATACTGAAAAAGTTGATTTTGATCTGTGCTAAAACTAAGACTCTTTTCTAGAAACTCAAAGCTTCCATTGAAAGTTTTTAAGGTATCAATTTGCTAGCCCACATGGCCTTTAACAGAGATCTAGACATGACTCTAGACCAGTGCTTCTCAATGTTTGTGTGACGGCGACCCCCGTCACACAAACGTTCTGCGCATGTGCGGTGCTGCGCGCATGGGGGCGGGGCCCCCATGCATGGCGCGCATGCGTGGCACGCCCCCATGCACGGCACGCGTTCATGGCGCGCCCCATGTGCATCGCGTGTGCGCCACCGCGCCCATGTGTGATGCGCATGCACGGCACCGCCCCATGCGCGATGCGCGTGCGCGGCGCCGCCCCATGTGCAATGCGCATGCGCAGCGGCGACCCCATGCGCGGCACACGTGCACAGCGCCGCGAAAAATGGCGGATCGCCACCTTTGGCGACCCCCGGAAAATGGTTGATCGACCCCAAATGGGGTCGCGACCCATAGGTTGAGAACCGCTGCTCTAGACTGTCGATTTGATCTAGCGGTTAAGGCATCGAGTGAGAAAATGAGAGACTGTGAGTTCTAATGTTGCCTGAGGTGACCTTGGGCCAGTCACTTTCTCTCAGCCCCAGGAAGGAGACAATGGCAAACCACTTCTGAAAAAAAATCTTGCCGGGAAAATTGCCGAGATTTGTCCAGGCGGCCTCTGAGAATCTAACATGATTGAATGGAAGAAAGAAGCCATGATTCTAGAGTTCCTCTGACACTTCTAAACAGAGAAAGGTTTAAAATTTATTTTAAATCAGCCTGCTGTTGAGTGTGTTCTCAAGGCATTTGGGACATTCATCCAATTGTCTATCAAGATTCATGCAAACATTTATGGTTTTCAAGAAAAGCTGGATTTACAGGAAACAGATTGGGCAGCTGGTTTATCTATCACCCAGTGACCCTCCCCTTGTTCACAGTTCAGATTGACTGACCTAGGCTGTAAAGAACATCTAAAAATGAATATAAATAACCAAAGAGATTAATATAAAAAAATGGGGGGAGGGGGGAGAGAAATGAAACAGAGAAATGAATTCAGCTCAGTTATCAGTTCCTCTAAGCTTCCAGCCCACTTGTCTATCAGAATCCTTCCCCTGTCCTGACCACTTTCTACAAGGGGACGATCGAGAGCATCCTGTCATACAGCATCACAGTCTGGTTTTGAGGCATCCCTGCTTCAGACAGGAAGGCGGTGCAGAGAGTGGTGAGGACGGCTGAAAAGATCATTGGCAGTTCCCTCCCTCCCATCCAGGATGTAGCACAGAAGCATTGCTTGAGCAGGGTCCATAAAATTGTCTGGGACACTACCCATCCTCTTCACAACCTTGTTTTCCTTGTTACCTTCTGGGAGGAGGCTCCGGGGTATCTGAAGCAGAACATCCAGATTCAGCCACAGTTTCGTTCCATACAGAATAAACCTTGTGAACTCTCAAGCTTCCTCCTTCCGTTATATATTCAGGATGGACAGTGTTTAATATTCATAT